TTTTTTTATATATTTTATATATATGGTATTTGTGAAATATATAAATATATAAAATATATGAAAAATTGATGTGGGTACTGAAATGTAAGGTCTCGATGAATGTAATGTCAGGATGAGCTTATATCTTTAAAAATGTCAATATTTAACAATATAAGGTTTTTACTAAATAATGACTTCTGTTAAATTGCTTTGTACTTTATTAATTATTGATGATTTTCAAGATATAAGCTCATCCCGATGTTAGACTTATCAAGAGCTTTTATTTGAATACCCACATTTATTTTTGATATATTTTTCATACATACATATATATAAATATATAAAATATATGAAAAATTGATGTGGGTCAAATGAAAGGTCTCGATGAATGTAATGTCGGGATGGATTTATATCATTAAAAATGTCAATAGTTATTAAGATACAAGGTCATTTCTTCATTATCGATATTTTTATAGATGTAAGCTCATCTTGATGTTACACTTATCAAGAGCTTTCATTTGAATACCCACATGCATTTTTGATATATTTTTCATATATACATCTATATAATATATATAAAATATATGAAAAATTGATGTGGGTACTCAAATGAAAGCTCTTGATGAGTGTAATGTCGGGGTGAGCTTATATCATTAAAAATGTTAGTAGTTGACTAGATACAAGGTCATTTTTCAAAAGATTTGCAATTTTGAAATAAATAGTTTAAATTTTGAATATCACCGTGAAAATATTGAGCCAAAATTTTCTTATTTCACGAAGTGTCATTTTAATAATATAAATTTTTTTGTTTTAGTGATCAGGACCTTGGTCCTGATCTTTGACAAAAATACTGAGGGATTTTTATTATTTATGTTGATAAATATAATTTGGATGATTTGTAACAATAATCAACACAAACCAGCACACAAACAAAGTATAGCTCGAATAATAAAAGTTATTATGGTTATGATGACAATGTCTTGTGCATGGCACTTTTTCCATGCGACGACTCGCGTTAGACACTAGACATTAGATGAACTTCGACATGAGACATTAATATTAAACTCGTGGTCACTCTACGCACAAGTTATTTTATTTTGAGTGACAAACTTGTCTTGCCTCCATCATTCCAATCATTGCTTGTAATTGCTATGTCGCTTTACTTGGCTTATACTTAATTGATGCATTTTATTTATATTAATTAATTATTAGAACAAGACTGCATGAATTTTTATTGAGTTTGTTGGATTTATCCGTTACAAATTTATTTATCGGCGCATTAGTAATGATGTCGTTCTGAACAGGTGATTTGCCGACTTACATAACACGTTTCCAGTGGGACATGGCCAAGTATCCGATAAAACAGTCTCTGAGAAATATTGCTGACATTATTGGCAAACAAGTTGGTCAGATAGACGCTGATTTGAAAACTAAGTCCACTACTTACAATAATTTGAAGGGAAGTCTTCAGAATCTTGAGAAGAAACAAACGTGAGTTTTCTTGAGTTTCTTCAATTTTTTAGGATTTATTTGATGAATAAAATTTTTTTTAGAAAAATTAATAAACGTACCTTAAAGTAGACATGTCAACGAACAAAATAAGCTATAACAAGTTGAATTTTAATACTGAGAAATCCAAAAAAATCCTAATTTAAAAAAACAAAAAGAAAGTATTAATAACTTTTTTATCCAGAGGAAGTTTGTTAACTCGCAACCTGGCAGATCTGGTGAAAAAGGAGCACTTTATTCTGGACAGCGAGTACCTGTCAACTCTGCTGGTGATCGTGCCAAAGTCGAGCTTCCACGAGTGGCACGCCATCTACGAGAAGCTGACGGACATGATTGTGCCCCGCAGCACGCAATTGATCACCCAGGACGCGGAGTACGGATTATTTACCGTAACTCTCTTCAAGAAGGTCATCGAGGAGTTCAAGCTTCACGCGCGTGAAAAGAAGTTCATTGTTCGTGACTTCACTTACAATGAAGAGGAATTGGCTGCTGGTAAAAACGAAATTACCAAGCTTGTTACCGATAAGAAGAAACAGTTTGGTCCTCTTGTTCGTTGGCTCAAGGTCAACTTTAGCGAGTGCTTTTGCGCTTGGATTCATGTTAAAGCATTGCGTGTTTTTGTTGAATCTGTTTTAAGGTATTTATTATCAATATTATTATTTATTATTTATTATTATTATTATTTTATAATTAATATGATTATTATTGATTTTTTTTTTTAGATACGGGCTACCAGTAAATTTCCAAGCAATTTTATTACACCCTAATAAAAAAACTACAAAACGACTGCGCGACGTTTTAAATCAACTTTACGCTCATTTGGATTCTTCAGCAGCTTCTGGTGGACATTCTGCTAATCAAGATGTGAGTATTTAATTAATAATAAAATTTTTTTATATAATTAAAGAGACCATTTAAACATAAACTGATTCATGAAAATTTTTTTGAATTGATTAATTGCTATTTTTACATAAAAGAAATTATTTTGATGGCTTAATTAAATTAGTGGCAAAATTAAATAATGAATTTTGTTAAATTGCACTGTACTTTCGTAATTATTGACATTTTTAAAGATATAAGCTCATCCCGATGTCATACTCATCAAGAGCTTTCATTTGAGTACCCACATGCATTTTTTATATATTTTTCATATATACATATATATAATATATATAAATATATAAAATATATAAAAAATTGATGTGGGTACTCAAATGAAAGGTCTCGATAATTATAACATCAGGATGAGCTTATATCTTTAAAAATGTCAATAGTTGACAAGATACAAGGTCATTTTTTAATTATTGACATTTTTTAAGATATAAACTTATCCTGATGTTACACTCATCAAGAGCTTTCATTTGAGTACCCACATCAATTTTTCATATATTTTATATATTTATATATATATCATATATATGTATATATGAAAAATATATCAAAAATGCATGTGGGTACTCAAATGAAAGGTCTCCATGTGTGTAACATCAGGATGAGCTTATATCTTTAAAAATGTCAATATTTCACAAAATACAAGGTCATTTCTTAATTATGTATCTAAAGATAGAGCATTTCACTAAAAAAAATTTTTTTTCCTTTGTAATATTACAAAAAATCAATTAATGGTCTCTTTAATATCTTTGCAAATAATAATTATTATTATTAAACTACATGAATATTTTTATTCTTCAGAGTGTAGATATTCCTGGACTAGGTTTTGGCCAGAATGAGTACTACCCTTACGTCTATTATAAAATAAATATCGACATGGTAGATAGTAAGGTTTAATAAATAAAAAAAAAATGAAAATGAACGCTACCATAAATTAAAAAAAACAAAATTTAAACTCCAATAAATTAAAAAAAATTACTTCATCGTTATTTCGCACAACTTATATTCGGAAAAATTAAAAAAAAAAAAAATCAAATTTAACATTTTTTTTTCTGGTAAAAAAAAAAACAATAAACTTGTAAATAATTTTCGTATTAAAGCGATATAAAGTCTATTAAAATATTTAAGTATATTAAAAATAAAAATATATTTATAAAAAAAAAATTTTCAGTCTAAATTTTTATTTTTGCCATAATTTTATTAAGGACTGTCAATTTTTTTTTTTTTTTTAAATAAATTGGTAATAAAATGGAGAGTTTAAATAATTTTTTGTGCCTCAAAGTATTGAAAAAAAAAAAAAATAAAAAAATAAATAAAAAGCTATGCTTTAAAAAAATATTTTTTTGGTTTTGATTCCAATATTAAGAAGCGATAAAAATACAAATATAAATAACAAAGATGTAAATTGTAGATAAATTAAGTATTCGAATCGTTATTCTTCTATAATTATAAAAAAATAAATATGTAAAATAATAAATAATAATAAATAAATATAAAAATGTTCCGTTGATAATAATCAATGATTTTATTATTATTAATTTATTATTATTAATTGTAGATACAAAAATAATTTGAGTGTGTTGTGTGTAAAATGTGAAATAATTTTTTTTATTTTATTTAACGTGGGTTTAATCTTTGGATGAGACGTTTCCAGACTCCACGAGATTCTATAAAAAAATATATAAAGTTATGGTGAGAAAATATGAAAATTAAGTTAGCCGACATTTAAAAATTTTTAGAATTGAAAAAATGATAAAAAAAAAAAAAAAA